AAGGCTAATCGCAATGGAAAGATTAAGTTGGGGAATGCTTGGCTTGGTATTCGACAACAACTCTTCTCTGCTTTTCTGGAGCATCAAGCTATGCCTGCCAACCAAGGTTGCATCATTCCTGAGTGCAAAGAAAGTGCATCTGGTAGATGCTTTGACTGTGGCCAGCACATTTTATGTGTGAGGAACATATAAACCTTGTTCATGCCTCTGGTCAGTCTTTCCCATAGAAATAATAGATATACAATGCGTACTGATACCTCTTCCGTTATAAAAATTTGTCTCCAAAAATGGCGGATTTATAAGGGCATTTTTCCTCGTTTCAGACTCCTGCGAGGAGTTTTTTGTGCGCGGTCGCGACGAGCGAGATATGAATATGAGTGAGTTTGAGAGAAAAGCTTGTTTTTGTTTTTGTCACGCCCTGGAGCATTAATTGGTTTTGACTACATTGTTTCATGAAGTGACTGATGGAGTCTGATAGCTGTTCTCAGCTTTCAATCAATCTTGTTTCAAGCGTACGTAAGTCATAATACGGAAAAAATGGAATCCTGCTTTGCTGTCGACATTATAACACAGTATTTATTGTGTCAAAAATGAAAATTACCTACACAAAGACAAGGCATAACTTTTAAAGTGTGGAGTACATAATTAACACTTGATCTCCTTTGGTACTGAGGTACGCTACGGAGGTATGTTTTTGATTGTATGAAACTCGTTTATGTGTTTCTTTTTTTTCACAAAATGCACGAAAAGCGAAATAAAATATAGTCATAGTCATTTTTCTTTGCACGGCTTCAACTATTTATGCAGAAATTGCTTGTTTTTACGTGGAAACCTGTTAAAAATCTATACAGAGTGATATGTTTTTTGTAGCTAGGCAAAAAGGTTTTTAACCATTTATCGTTGCATCAAAGCAAGGTCATCGGACAAATAATCAAGCTCAAGCCAAATAACAATTTATGTGTAAACAAATGGTTGCATGTAAAAAAACGCAAAAATCCTCAAAAAACAAAGCACAGTTGAAAAATTCGCTAGACAATAGAATTACACAACCTATTACAATAAACATTATTCTCTACTAACTATGTTTCCTACATAACAATGAATATATATGGCGATAGGCCGGTGGTTTGTTTTTGTGTGCTCAACGGTGAAAATCGACTCTTTCTCGATTGTCGATTATCGCTTGTCGCTTTTTCTGGGGTTTTTTTCTGTTCTGCAACTTAATGCCGAACTGGGTTTGCCATTTTTGATTGTGCGTGCTAATAATTGACTGTAAAATATGCCTTTACCCAAAATTTAAGTTTTGAATTAAAAGTTCTTTTGAAAGATTTCTCACTCCTCGCGAGATTCAAAATGGCGCATTTATAAGGGCACAGCTTGAACAAAATGTGGGACACGTATTCGTGATAAGTACGCATTCTATGTCTATTATTTCTATCGTCTTTCCACTATCCTGAGATTTGGGGGGTACATGTAATATAGCTGTGTTAGGGTTAATATTTATAAGTTACAGCCTCTCATTTTGGCAGAGGTCATGTGGGCTTTTTGAGGAGCTTACTTCAATGATTCTTTTATACTGCAACCTTAGTGTAATAGTGTTGGATGTATGTACTGTATATATGAAGTCATGTGATGTGAGTATGTTGCATTGTAGATTGAAAAGTACATTCAATACAAATTTAAAGAAGTTGGGAGACAAATCACAATTTAGATCATGGTTATACTAGTGATGTTGTTGTTGTTAATAGAAATGGTATGTTTATGGTATTATATTGTGACGTTGATTGTCAGGTGTTTTCTTTTATACATGAGCTTATTTACAATTATACATTTATGAATTTTGTATTATTGTGTAAATTCTGTGTCAATTTCCTTACCATACTATGTCTCTTTACCTGCCAACATGACTACTTCTAAGATTCCATTTTTTCCTATGAATTAAATGAGCAATTACTATGGCTTTATATTGATGTTTAATACATCGACTGATAATGTGTCCAATTGTACTTTTTGAAAAATAAAAAAAAACAGAGTCTGAAAAATAATATCCTGAGAAATCCAGATATGGATTAAAACAATTAAGACTATCAACAGAAGTTTGTGACATTTGCAGTTTATTACAATCTATCTGATAATAAAATTGAAACATCACAAACTCATGTAAGTAGTATTATGTTAATCCATATCTTGGATTGCTCAGGAAGTTATTTATACTCTGTTTTGTCATTTATTTTTTTTACACATTGGTCTAGTGGCTATCAACTGGCTGACCATTAAAAGAGAGAGTCTTGCCAGTTAGATGTTTTAAATAAATAAATTGTGTGTTCTTATCAACAAATTTTGTTTAGGTCAACAGGGTCTTGTGAAGTTTAAATTCTGTTGCCATGAGCCAGAAGCAGTGACATTAATGAAACATGGTTTGTGGCCTTCATCACCCAAGGAACCACAAGCAGCATTTGAAAAAAATCTTTAAAGTCGATATGTCAGGCTTACCCTTATACTGGATTATGCCTTCTCTTTCACCAGTTTATGTGAGTGTTTTAACCCAACCTCATTACGTCCAAAGGCTTCCCCTTTTATGACTGAATTTGCAAAGCCAAACTTCTAATTCATTAGTATGTATTAATTGCATATACAGTATACTAATTACTAAAGACAATACTAGTACATTGTAAAGTCTAATTATTAGTGTAAGCTCTATCACCGTCGATTTTGCGAAAATAGTCAGGTACAAAGCTTACGGGTGAGCACGGTTGAGGTGTCGCAATTGCATGGAAAACAGTTCAAACGCACGTAAAAAATGGGTACCAATTTTGCCGCGGGCAACAATATTGATAATAACACCAACCAATTCTGACGGAACAATGCAACGAAATATACGATCGCAAAACTCCAGACGATATTTTCAAGTATATAATTGTAACAATAAAAGGTGTAGTATCGTGCAGAAGGTCGGACGAACATGAACATAAAGGTATGACGTAAACATGAAACGTGGTTCGACTAGATAGAGAAATATAGCCTAAATTAATATAATCCTAAGCTAAACTAAAACTGTGCCAAACACGCTAAATACGGTTAATTGAATTGAGGTAACTTACAGATGGTTTCCCAATTGCTTCTAAGCTTGGCTGTTGTTACTATAACCGTCTCTTCTTTTCTTGGTGCTTAGTTGGATGCCTCAACTATACTAATTAAATCTCGTCCGGAGCATGCGTTACCTATCCATGCACTTGTGCAACTAATTAAGTCCTGGCGACAGTAATTTAAAAGGGATAAGCATAAGTTTCCTGCGATAAGCACAGTTGTCACTACTGAAGAAAAAACAAGGTTCCAATCCTACATAGCGGCCCCTAAATGCGCAGTTATATGAATTACAAGCATTTAAATTAATTGAGGTATTGGACTTTAATGAACAGAACTATGTAATGGTAAATATAGATTATCAGAAAACACTAAGACTACTCTATAAATGTACTTATTGTTCATGGCTTGTCCCCTCGACGTGCTCCACCGTCTCCAGCAGAACAATTTTCGTCACCGGTCGATCTAAGGTCGTTGACTTCGTTTTCACGGAAACACTTCGTACGAGCCCGTCTTTACCGCTGCGGTGGACTCCGACAATTCTACCCAGCGGCCATGAATTACGCGGTGAGCTTTTGTCGACACGATGTCTCCCACAGAACAGTTCCTTCGAGGTTTTGTCCATTTCTGTCGTTCTTGCAGACGCGGCAGGTACTCCTTCACCCAACGTTTCCAGAAAATATCAGCGAGGTATTGGACTTGTCTCCATTTGCGGCGCGAGTAAGAATCATTGTTGGTAAAGCTACCAGGGGGTAGGTCGGTACCTTTCTGGAGCAATAGCAGGTGGTTCGGGGTAAGGGCTTCGAGATCTTTCGGATCGTCTGAAACTTTCGTGATTGGTCGGCCGTTAACAATCGCTTCGACTTCACACATGAGAGTATACAGACGCTCTTCGTCCAGGACTTGCTCTCTCGTAATTGCGTTAAGGATCTTTCTTACCGTACGGATACAGCGCTCCCAAACACCTCCGTGGTGAGATGCTCTGGGAGGGTTGAAGATCCACTTTACATTTCTTTGCATTAGAAACTCGCCAATTTTCTCTTTATTCCACGAGCTGATCGACTCGCGCAACTCTCGATTCCCCCGACAAAATTCGTTACGTTATCGGACCGTATCTCATCCGGTTGTCCTCGTCTCGCTATAAACCGCCTCAACGCGTTGACAAATGAGTCAGTGTCTAAACTGTTTGCCACTTCGATGTGCACCGCTCGAATGGCCAAACAAGTAAACAACACTCCGTACCTTTTCACCTCGCTTCTGCCACGCCTCACTGTGAAAGGCCCAAAACAATCTACGCCTACGTTTGTAAAAGGCGGTTTCCCAGGTGTGACACGATCTTCAGGAAGATCTGCCATCTTCTGTTCCTCAACAGGCGCACATCTCTTCTTGCAATCGTAACACCATCCAAGCACGCTTTTGATCGCGACTCGAGCGCCAATGATCCAGTATCTCTCTCTTAACAGTGCTAGAACGTGCTATAAACCCGAGTGGGCCGAAATGTCATGGTAATACTCAATAACTAATTTCACAACGTGATGGCGTTTCGGCAATATCATTGGATTCCTCGCTTCTTCCGGGAGGATGGAATTTTGCAAACGTCTGCCAACGCACAGGACATCATCTTTCAAAATCGGATCAAGCCTATGGATAGAACTAGAAGGTTTGATTGCTCTTGCCGTGGCGTTGGCCTTTCTATTGGAATCTTCTTTCTTCCTAACCGTTGCTATCTCGCTACCAAAGCTTTGGTGTTGCACAACTCTTACGATTTCACGCTCTGCTTCCTTCATCTCGTTGACAGAAATGGGTAGCGGGTCATTCCTTTCCAGTCCAGTCTCCCCTCGTAGACGTCGTTCGCGAGCTCTACGTAATGCCGACTTGTAGCGCAGTAGCCAGGCAACGCATCTTTTCAAACGGTATCACGAGGAAAATCTGGTGAACATTTCGTCCAGGCTTCGATTAACGTTGGGTTCAGTGGTGACGGCAAACGATTTGCACTTCTTTACTTCTGGGTCACCTTCCTTAACTTCGAGGACTTCCGCTTGTTTCAGTTTTGGCCAGTAGTCTTTTGTCTTGCCTAAGAACTCTGGTCCTTCGAGCCAAAGTTTATTCTTGAGCAGATCTTCTATCTCTAGGCCTCTCGATGCGTCGTCAGCAGGGTTGGATTTAGTATCAACATGATTCCATTGAGATGGTGACGATACGTTGTGAATTGCAGAAACGTGATTTGCAACGAAGGTATTGAACCTCTTTTCTTCGTTCAAAATATAGCTGAGTACACAGGTACTGTCCGTCCAAAAGAACGAATCTTTGATTGGAATATCGATTTCTTTCTTAATCGTCTTGTCCAACTTCGCTGCCACCACGGCCGCCAACAATTCCAACCGCGGGATTGTAACTGATTTCAGCGGTGCCAATCTTGACTTGCCCATCACGAACGAGCAGTGAATTCTCTCCTCCACGTCAACCATTCTTAGGTATGAAACAGCACCGTAGTCACGTTGTGAAGCATCAGAAAAATGATGCAACTCAGACGTAGAGATTTCGTTGAATTCAGACCTTCCAGCTTAGGCAGATCCTTCAACCATGCTTCCCAAAGCTTAGCGTGTGTCTCCAGGATTGGGTCGTCCCATCCAATCTTCAATCTGCACAAGTCCTGCAGAATTTCTTTGGCAACCAAAACAAAGGGTGCTGCAAAGCCAAGGGGATCGTACACCGACGACACAACCGACAGAATTCCTCTTCGCATTAGTGGCTTCTCTTTCACCGAAATAGAATATCCAAACATATCGGTCTCCACGTTCCATAACACCCTGAGAGCACGTTCTGTTGGAAGATCTGTGAGGTGAATCACTTCTTTAAGCAACTTTGATCTATCTAGCTCTGGAACTGATTCGATGACCTTTCTGGAATTCGATAACCATTTTGTCAGCCGAAATCCGCCTCTAGACAAAAGGATCCGCAACTGGCTCGCCGTGTGAATCGCCGCTTCTTCGTCTTGGGTAGATTTGAGGCAATCGTCTACGTAAAAATTGCGCTTGACGGCGTTGATGATTTCGGCGTCGAATAGACACTTCCCGAATTTAAATTTCGCGCGAAACACAAAACACGAAAACGAGGCGGGCAATGACAATTCAGAATCAAAGATGGCGGCTTTGCCTGAGGGCGAGCCAGTTGCTAGTAGCATTGCGTTGAAAGAAAATGATCAAAATGCAGAAAATGTTAAGGAAATGCCCGTTGAGCTATTTTGGGGTAAATCTTTGAAAGATTTCCCACATCTTACAATAAAGGAAATTGAAAAACATAGGTTAAAGAGTGGAAAACAAAAAGGCGCTGCGATATCAAAAACACTCGCGAGAGGTAGAAAATTGAAAGAGGAACGATACTTGTCGTCAGACTCTGTTTTTACTGCAAAAACAGAAACAGCGTTTGCCGTAAAATGTAAATGCAGAGCTAGCATGAAAAAGGTAACGCGTTCTGTTATTGTTTATATCAATTCTACTACTGGAAATGTTGACAAAGCCCATTGTAATTGTCCTGCTGGAAACAGCGGTTACTGTAACCATGTGATGGCACTTCTGCTACAACTAGCAGAGTATTCTTTGAACGGATTGCAGTTTGTACCTGAAGAGAAAGCATGTACAAGTGCACTAAGGAAATGGGGTGTACCTGGACAAAACACTTCACATGTTAAAGAACCTGTGATGAATACAAGTATTCAAAAGTCGGTAACTTCAAAAGGGATCAAATGTACCGCTTATGACCCAAGATTGAATTACAGTAAGGACGATTTTGAGAAAAGAACCAAAGTACTACAAATGTCTTTAGTGACAGTAAACCAAAAAATTGCTTTTGCTCAATGTCTACAGCAAAGTGAAACACTCACCTACACAAGAACAAGATATGGTGAATTTGCTGTTGGTTCACCACTTTCATACCAACTACAAGCTGTCATGTTTAATTTTGGAATATTGTCCAACATTAAGGAAAGTAGCAGAAGTATTTCCACTACTTCTGATGGCAAGATGCCAGGTTTACCACTGGTTTGCATCAGTGAAAATGATAAATTAATTCCAAAAGACTGGAATATAAGTCAAAATGAATCATCATACTTGGAATCAATTCAAGTTTCTATGGAAGAAGCATTAAAACTTGAGAGAGAAACAACAAATCAAAGTAAAAATCCCAAATGGATGGAGCTACGCAAACCGAGAATCACTTCTACAAATGCCCATTCAGTTTTTATTCGAAAACGCAACCATAAAACATTGGTTAAATCTATTTTATATCCTAAGGATCTACCAGAGCTCCCACCGAGTGTTCAAGAGAATTTCAAGCATGGTTCTATGAATGAACCTGTCGCTAGAGAAAAATATTCAGATGTACTATGCCATAAATTTCACAGGAAGATTACTGTGCGTGAAACCGGTATAGTAATCCAGCCAAATTTGTTTTGGCTTGCAGCAAGCCCAGATGGATTGGTCAATGACAATGAACATGATCCTCAAATTGGTTTAATAGAAATTAAGTGCCCTAAGTCAAAGCGAGATTGTACACCAGATGACATGGTTTCTGATGCAAAATTCTATGTTGGTATTGATGATGGTAAACCATATTTGAAAAAGAATCATTCTAATGGATATTATTCTCAAATTCAAATGGCAATGGGGTTATCACAAGCAAAGTTTTGTGATTTTGTTGTCTATACGTTTAAAGGTATGATTATAATACGAACCAAATTTGATGAGGAATACTTTGAAAACTTAATTAAGAAGTTAAACACATTTTACAAAAACTACATGCTTCCAGAATTAATACAATAATAAAATGTATTTTATTAAATTTCTTGAAAACATCTATTGATGTATGTACTTTATCATAATACTATTCTGGTAGCAAAATGGCCAAAACCTATTTTTCAGGGTTAGGTTGTGCTTTGTTACTTTCTTTTTGTATTAATGGTGGTAACAGATTCCACAACAAACATGCAACTGTCCATATCTGGTTGATAGAGCCATGTAGTACAAGTGGTATTTCATTTCGAATTTGCTTGAACTTCTTCACCCTTTGTATGTATTCTAACAGAGGCAATGGACTGACTTTCTTTAACTTCTCCTTTTGTTAGCTGCTCTCGGCCATCCAAAAATGCTGGTATATTCAATTGTACACCTATCTTGCTTAGCTCCTGTTCAATTGTAAATCCTCTGTCAGCCATAATTGCGTCATCTTTATCCCACAACTCCTTATTAAGCAAGCCACTGCTGTTTACTATTTCTTTATCAGAAACAGATCCACTATATAATTGGCTGATGAAAGTAATGGCTCCTGATGGGGCTATTCCAAGCAGACCTTTATAAGTAACATGATGTTTATAATATGAGAATAGACTGCTTTGAATGCTCAAAGAAGATGGTGATTGGCAAAACAATTCAGTGCAATCGATAATGCACCTTGTTGTTGGGTAAGTTGTTTTAAAACATTCTGGCATTGTTTCTTGCACTTGCTGTTTAGTTGGCCATATTGGTAGACTACCCAATGAAAAATAGAGGAAATTTATCCAAGTAATAAGATATCTTGAAACTGTAGACTTTGGGGTATCAAATAACCATGCTATATGGGATAGGCTAAATCCACACTTCAACCAAACAAGCACTAAAAAGAGTTGATTGACAGGAATTAGGTTTGGCCGTGGACCACGCTTTTGTGGTGTCTCCTTGTTTGGTGTAGCAGTAGATGGGGTTGTGTTGCTTTTTTCTCTGTTTGATGCATCAAAACTTTATATTTTCTCCATTATTTCCAGGATTCAAAAAAGTAAGTAAGTGGTCAAACACTTCCAGTTCAAGTCCAGTAGCTGACTTAAAATGATGCTTATCTTTAGATATATTTTCATACTTGTAGATATGTTTTTCTTGAAAGGTTTTTAGATCTTCTTTGTTTTTTGAGTTCTCCAATCTCAAGTCATTATTTTCCATGAGTAAAGATTTATTTTCCTTCTCCAGGGATTCTACTTTTTCTAACAGAAATTGACATTGTTCACATGTGCTTTGATTTTCTTCTTCATAGCTTATTTCTAGTACATTGTGCTGATCCATTGATTGTAATACCTCTGTTCCGAGGGGTGGTTCTAAATATGTTTAGATAAAACAGTCAGGGTGGATCCTACATGCTACATTATAGTGACCAACTGAAAACAATATATATACATGGTGCTCCATGCTTTGTTATTTTACTCTGTGTATTGCTGTGGCTATATGTATAATACTTAGGAACTAATATGACTTTTCGCCTATATTGGAGAGATGACAATTTTCAATTGAGAAACATTTCTCCACACGCTGCCATAGATCTTGCAGTGGGCAAAATTTGATTAAATCTGTCTAAATTCTATTTTAGTGTACTTCTGCAATACTTGCAATGTCATAAATTATATATTCTAGATCTACATAAATATTAACCTGTGTTTTCTTTGTCATCAGATGTTTCCACAAATAGTCGTTTAGCAGGCGGGGTTCGACCATTTTTGTGTTGACATGCCTCAGTTATTTTAAAAACAGAAGGAACTGACCCATGGACAAGTGTCTTTCGACCAATACCTTTAGACACACAAATTTCGTCGAATTTAAAGTGAAACTCACACACGACTGTCGCATTTGTAACTTTAAAATTATCTGCGCCTCCTCTTCTACGGTATCTAGAAACAAACAACATCCATTTTCTCCGCAATGATTTATCTGATGGTATTTTAAACAGACCAATGTTTGTTTTGTTTTTGTATTTGTCGTAGAATGCACTCCCACAACCTGGAATACAGCAAGACGTTCCTCTCCCACCATGTAGTTGTTTCTTTGGCCGGGCTTTTGAAGAAGATGGATAAGTATCTTTCAGTAAATTGACTTCCTTTTCTGCCTTGTAGATCTCATTCAAATTGAACAAATCGGACGAAACCTCGGAGCTTTGAGGCAAAGCCGCCATCTTTGATTCTGAATTGTCATTGCCCGCCTCGTTTTCGTGTTTTGTGTTTCGCGCGAAATTTAAATTTGGGAAGTGTCTATTCCTTTGCGTTATCGTCAGCAGTTTGTCGCAGCGCAAAGTTAGCGCAGGTTGGTGAAGACACGCCGCCAAATAGGTGCACCGTCATCTGATAATCTTCGGGTTCGCGACTGAGGTCGTTGTCGGACCACCACAGAAACCGTAAGGCATCACAATCCTCTGGTCGGACTCGCACTTGGTGGAACATTGCCTCAATGTCTGCCATCATCGCTATTGGACCTTCTCGGAATCGCGTCAGGAATCCAACCAAACTGTTCGTGAGATCCGGCCCCTGTAACAGCTGCTTGTTCAAAGAGGTGCTCCCGTACTCAGCCGCGCAGTCGAACACCACGCGAACTTTATCTGGCTTCTGTGGATGGAAGACAGGGTGATGTGATAGGTACCAGGTGATATTTCTTTGTAAGGTGTTCTCTTCTTTGGTTAGTTTCCTAGCATAGCCTTTCTGTAGAAGGTCTTGGATGAAGGCGACATACTTTTGGAAAAGGTCATTGTCTCTCGCTAATCTTTTCTTCAGGAACATCAATCGACGTACTGCGACCGACTTGTTCTTCGGTGAGGACAGGCGAGGGCTCTTCCAAGGCAACGCAATCTCATAATGGCTGTCTTTCAAACGAACGGTTTCTTCCATGATGCTTAACGCTCGCCTGTCATGACATGACATCGCTACGTCGTCGTCTACGTCGTTGAACTCCCTGTTGCAATATTGTCTGAAGATGTTTTCCAACTCGTTGTTCTGAACTTCGCTCTGAATACAATTGGCCGTTGCACTATGGTGATCGCTGCGACCTAGCGGTCCGTTTACTGTCCAGCCCCAAACAGTCCTGATGGCGTAAGGCCCGTCTGAGTTGCTTTCCACAACCTCCTTAGGCTGAAGCGCTTTCGGAACGTCGTTTCCAATTAAGAGGCCAACCTCGCTGTCGATATCTTTGAGAACAATGCCTTCGAGATGTGACCAACGATCTACATCGCCTTGCCGCGGGATGTCGTCTCTCAACACTGGCAGTTTGGAAACGGAAAAGACGTTCATAATTTCAACAGTGTTTTGACCATTCAAATCACTAACTTCGAGGCTGACGACTGAGCTTTGTAACTTGCTTCTTTCCTTTTCCATGGTGGTTAACAATAGAGTTGTCTTCCTGGATTTCGCCGCGAGCTTGTTCAGCAGAGATTTGGTAATAAACGATGTGTTAGAACCACCGTCGAGAAAGGCGTACGTTTCGACTGTTGATGTGCCTCCTACAGCCCTCACTTTTACTGGGAGAATCGGTAGTCCTACCACAGGGGAATTGCGACGCACATCATCCGCGTTAACGTAACCATTGTGGGCATTCTGTTCGCCGGCTTGAGATGGTGGCTGAGATTCGGCACCTTCGTTCTTTTGCCTTTGAATCCTTTCATCCTCGCCTGGATCGGTGGGCTTACGATGCAGGAATGTCGAGTGCTTATGTTTACAACCTTCGATCTTGCAAAAGCTCTTCTTTTCACATGAACGCCCCACGTGACCAGGAACAAGGCAGTTGTCGCATAACTTCAACGAACGCACGAGTTTAAATCGCTCTTCGATCGACCTTTTCTTGAAATCATCGCACTGAGAAAGCCAATGATTACTCTCGCATGATGGACATACCACTTTAGTACGGACTGAGCCGCCATCTTTCCCCTTTGTAGCAAAGGAGGACCCACGAGTAGGCTTTACATTTTTCCTTCCAGCATTCTCCAGTTTAACTTCTCTCGAAATCTTGCCAAATATTGGGTGATTGCATGCTCTGGCTCGTTTCTCGACAAACGACGTAATGTCCTCGATCGTAATCTCGCGCTGCTTGACTTCTGTGATGTCATCGGCAACGTCACGCCATTTTTGTCGCAAGCCAAACGGCAATTTCTCAACGATCTTTTGCATGCTATCGGGATTTTCGATTTTGCTAAGATAGCCAACTTGCTTCAGAGCGTTTTTACAGGTTGTCAACATAATAGAAAACCGCTGTAAACTCTCACCGTCCTCGGATTTAATTGGCGGGTAACTCGTCAAGCGCTCGACATATGCTGTTGCGATGAGATAACTCCTACCGTACTTCGTTTTAAGTAGCCGACGTGCCTCTCTATACCCCTCGTTTGGATTCATCGACAGACAACTACGCATCAAATCTTGTATGTCACCTGACGTGTATTGTAAGAGATAATACAGCTTGGCGCTATCGCTTTGGGTCTTAGCCTCGATCAATTGTTCAAATGCTCAAATGAAACTGTGGTATTCGATTGGGTTACCGTGAAATATGGGTACCTTAGGGGACAGAAGTGTCAGAGCCAATGTTTGTTGTTGTTGCAGAGCTAACAACTTCATTATTTTCCTGCTGCTTTCAGTGCTTTGCAAGTTAGCCTCAGGTGAAAGTTGAATCGCGTGCATTGCTGCCAAATTCTCTTCATTTCCTATCGCGTTTAATTGATGATTTGCAAGGGTGTCAGGGCTATTACAATCTGTCAAATCTGTCTCGCGCCTGAACCTTCGTTTGCACTCGGTGTTGACAAGTCATTGTTGGCAGTTGACGATTGGTTTACCGCGTCGAGGTTAATTTTGGAACGTTCGTCCCTGGGGCGGTCTAATTCATTATAGTTCGCATGCAATTCGGCACGACACGGCTTGGGATCGACATTTTTGGAAAGAGTCGCGCCGATTTCGCCGTCAATCTCGAAACCAGAGCCCGCGATTGTTTTGCCGTAGGCACGCTCTTCGGCAGCCGCTTGCGCTATCTTCGTTTCAAGTTCGAGCTCTTCTCTTTTTTGCTTAAGGCAAAGCTCTTGTTGTTGGAGCTCTTGTCGCCGTCAAAGCCTGTTCGCTTCTTCCTCAAGGACTGCTTTCCTCGCGGAAGCGGCAGCTTTTGCGCCAATCGCTGATTCTCTACTGGAAGCTCGAGAACTCATTGAACTGATTTGAGAGCGTATACTTTTCGATTTGCGTGATCGGCATGAAGATCTAGCACCGCGATCTGTGCCAACATTGCTCACGGAATCGCTCCGTCTAATCTCATTAAATTGCTCAGCAGCATTGCCATGACAGATTTTGCTGTTATCAAGCCAAGTTTTTAACCTATCTTTGAACGCACACGTTCTACGTACTTCAACGTTATAATACGCTTCCGATTCTTGTATGTCATCTTCATCAGTTAAATTTGCGTGATACTTTGCCTTTTACCTTTTCAAAGATTCCTCTTCAAAGATTCCTCTAATTCGCCAAATAGACTCTGAACACGTTCCAAGTTATTAACATCCTTAATTAACTCGGTGATCTCATTAATTTTTCGCGTGACGCTAGCTTTAGCGGTCTTTCTGGCCATTTTACTTTGGTAAATTTGCGTCGCCGTCGCATGATCGTGAACCTCACTAGAACTTGAATTAAGTTCGTGATCGTCTATTTCAGCTGCCTGGTCACCAGGTTGATAGGTTTCGCTATCGCCAAGACTATCAACAGAAGTTTGTGACATTTGCAGTTTATTACAATCTATCTGATAATAAAATTGAAACATCACAAACTCATGTAAGTAGTACTATGTTAATCCATATCTTGGATTGCTCAGGATGTTATTTATACTCTGTTTTGTCATTTATTTTTTTTACACATTGGTCTAGTGGCTATCAACTGGCTGACCATTAAAAGAGAGAGTCTTCCCAGTTAGATGTTTTAAATAAATAAATTGTGTGTTCTTATCAACAAATTTTGTTTAGGTCAACAGGGTCTTGTGAAGTTTAAATTCTGTTGCCATGAGCCAGAAACAGTGACATTAATGAAACATGGTTTGTGGCCTTCATCACCCAAGGAACCACAAGCAGCATTTGAAAAAATCTTTAAAGTCGATATGTCAGGCTTACCAGTAGTGTTGTATGGTGCATTTAGTGGGATTTCGTGGGAAATTTTATCGTGGGATTTATTTATCGTGGGATTTTATCGTGGGATTTTATATGACGTCATAATTCCACGTGTTTATATTTTTTCTCCACGTGTTTTTATAATACACGCGAGGAATGCGTGTGGTTCACGCTAATGTGTATGACGTCATATATGCACGTATATATAATGACGTCATATATGCACGTGCTTTTATTTTTAGGAACGTGTTGATTAATATAAACACGTGCTTTTTTTTTGTTTATATAAGACGTATTATATTGTTTTATTTTTTACTGTATTTTTATCATGACTAAGTATTATGGTATTATTGTTAATAAATTCCAAGGGGTTATCATTAATCAAATTCAGAACGATATAATTAGTGATGAATATCCAAGGAGGCAAGATTATGTAAACATGTTTCGCGGTATACAATCAAGCGGTTACACCTATTCACCTACACCTATTCGTTTGTTGGATATTGATTCCCTTTTTACGTTCGTGGTTTTTTTAAAAGTTCATCCATTGAGAAATCAACTTGCTCAAGCATTGGAGTCAATGTTTACATATATGATACATCATATATTAAAGGAGGATATGGCTGAGATACTTGTGGACTATATACATTTATGTCCCGGGAAATATTGCATGGAGGTGCCCATTTATTTCACTACATCTGCATATGAATCGTATATTGACATGTTTGATGCTATGATAGCTTTGAAAGTACCGAGGGACATGTTTCATTCAACGAGACTTAGACATTGTGTAGTTGTTCAAATAAATAATAAACTTTACGGAATACAAATAATATATCGACATTACAAAGAGATACGTGATAAAATAAAGACTCTATATAACAATGTAATACGTTTTTGTATTAGTCTTACTGATTTTTTACCTGGTTACGTTATTGCACAGGATGGATCTTTTAAAGTTTTTTTGCTATGTAATGATATTGAGAGTGATGAGTTATCTAAAATGTTATGTTTTAGGCCTAGTAAAAGATATGATAGATTAGTAAGGGTATCTATAAGTTGGTATTTTTCGACGCAATTTCGTCGGAGTGCACGCGATATACGTTTTTAAAAGTGCACGTGTTTATAAATAAAAGTGTGTGTTTTTATATACATAAAGTTTATGTTTATCGTTGCATTTATCCATAACGGGCATGGAAGGTGTATTGAACAAGATTCAAGATGTTATCCTTTATAATAAGAAACCTACTGCAAGGGATATTAAGAGCATATTTACGTCTTTACCTGTTTATATACGACCACTGGATATTGATTCTCTTCTTTGTTTTGTATGTGTTATAAGAGTTCATCCGTTAAGGAATGCATTGGTACAGGCGTTGAGAATGGCATTTACATACTTATTACATCATATGTACAGTTCCGACGTACGCGAGCTACTTTTGGAGTATGTAAATATTCCGCAGGAGAGGTATTGCGATGAGATACCTATTTACTTTACAACTCACGAGAATTCTTTATTTGAAGAGTATGCTTGTATGTGGAGATATAAATTGGTTATGAGAATGCCAAAGGGGATGTTTGATTGTAAAATTATTGTTCAAATTAACGAGTGTCTTTATGGTGTATGTTTAAGAAATCAAAGTTATAAATCTATAATGAACGGAGTTAAAAGTGTTTATATTAATGTTATGTCCGAGAGTATGAACTTTACAACGCAAGATGTACAATCGCTTGGTTTTTTTACTTCATATAAAATATGTAACTGTTTTAATAACACATTGAAGGACATGATAATTTTTAGGGAACCAAAGAGATGGGATAGAGTGGCTAGAATTTTTTTGAGGGATATATTTAATGGTCCTTTTTTCAATTCGGAGGTATTTGACTACATGTACTAAGATAAACAAAGACAAATGTACTTTTTTAAAAGAGTTATATTTTGAAAAAATTGTAAAAATACAATAAACAACACAGTAGTACAATATCAATTTATAACGTTCCAATAAATCCAGTTGTTTAATATTTGTAGCTCGGCTTTTGGGCAATGTTCATATGCTTTTTTACAAGGAAGATGATTACCGCATGTTTCGATAACGCCGGCTTTTTCCTCGCTACTTAAAAAAGGATTAGCTTCTATCCAAGAAACGTACTGACTTGGCTTTGGCGCTCCGAATATTTCTAGATTGATGCTAGGTATGTTTAGCTTTAGTAGTAAGTCCCTTTCGATCGATCCGCCTTTATAACCCAGATGACTTTGTTCGTTTATTTGTACGTCTTTGTAGAATGTATTTACGATGTCTTCTAGCTCATTCGCTTTGCGTACTTCTGCGGTATTGGGCGGAGTTGTATAGGGTAGTTTGTGAATGTTGTTAACCACGAACGAACATTGCCTTTTATCTTTTTGAGTTAGTTGATGCCATGGGATGGGGATTTCGAAGAGGTATGATGAGGCCTTTGTTTCCCCAAACATGCCGTTTGATTCTGTTTGTTCTTTCATGTTTAGTAGCCCCAATTCTTTACAATGAAACTTTTTATTTATAAAGAACCCGTCCATATCGATTATGCCGACTAAATCTTCCATACTTGCTTCGAGCTTGAGGATAGTTATACTGTTCTGAAGGATAGATATCCCCGCCCTTTTATAGGCTGCCGCATGTAGAAAACGTTCTAAAGTTTGTCCTTAGACGTCCGACTATTAATATACGTACGCGATTGGCCGTTTTAGTTATCCTTAGGTTATTCTTGCAAAAGCTATAAAAAGGTAATAGCTCGAAATTTTTATTCATATCGCCATGGGTCGTAAGAAGAGTTTGCTAACTAAAAACGAGAGGGAGAAAAAGAGGAAGGAGAAAATAAAGAGCGAAGAAAGGTTTAACAGACCTTTAAGGATTTGGATAAAGAGGAGATATCCTAAAATATTCTTTGAATATTCAAAAGTTTTTCGGGAGGTTTCAAAGATGAACCCGCATGTGAAAGATATCACACAGACCATGGATTGGCGAATGAATTTGTTCAATGACGGCACGATGGATTTGGCTTCGTTAACCAATTCCATAGATGAAATAAATGACATTATGAGCATTGAAGACCAAATTCAAAAGGAAATCCTACACCTTGAAAGAGATTTAAATGACAAGACGCCCGAAAGAGTTGAAGTCGAATCTGTCCAAAGCGAAGTAAATAAACCGACAGCTGAAATTCAAGCCATACCTGTCCAAAGCGTAATACCAATGTCTACCCAAAACGAAATGGCGGCTACCGATGGTTTATCCTTTGATGAGTTAGATTTTATTTCTGCATTACCCGATTTACCCGAGGAGAATGTTGGACAAACACAAGCAAGTGCTACCGACCCGTTTGAAGACATACGGAAGTATATTACTGACTTTGATTTCGAGGTAGAACTTCTTGATTTTGAGTGTTTTGAGGATGATGATAATTTTAAGAACGATGTTATGACTTTTTAAAAAGTAAAAAGGTATTTTAATGTTATTAAAACATGTTTTTTATTGTTATTAATATGTTTTTTATCGAAGAATATATATTTGAAAAAAAGGACATGTTGTTGTTATTATGTTTGGGGTTTCCCCTTACGTCATCGATTTTGAGTTAAAATGACATCATTGATTTTTAAGGGGGTGAGGAGAAAAATTTTTAGGGGGTGCGAAAAAATTTTTTAGGGGGGTGCGGAAAAAATTTTTTAGGGGGTGCGGAAAAAATTTTTTAGGGGGTGCGGAAAAAATTTTTTAGGGGTTGCGGAAAAAATTTTTTAGGGGGTGCGGAAAAAATTTTTTAGGGGTGCGGAAAAAATTTTTAAGGAGAAAAGTTTTTTAAAAAAATTTTATTTTTTATTCATAGTTACACAAAAAGATATATAAAGTTTTTGAATATAAAAAAAGTTTTTGAATATAAAAAGTTTTTATGTATTGTCTTTATGTAAAAGTAGATTCATCATCACCGTCTTCTTCATCAATGCTATAATTTACAATCTTTTTTCTTCTTTTCAATGGTTTTTCTTGTTCATCATAGCGTCGGTAATATTGGGGGTAAAAGCCAAAGGTACTTCCGTTTGCATAGTCCCCGGCGTATGGACGATTTTGGCTTGGTGGAATTATATGTAGATCGTCATCATCGTTGCTGTAATCTTTAAGTTCGGGTTTAGGGTTTAACTTACGTCTCGGTGCGGGGGTGGAGGGTTCTTCTATTTTCTTTGGAATTAATCTACGTGGGGTTCCTTTGGGTGGTGGATTTTGCGGTTCGCACCATTGAAAGAAGTTGCAGGTTTTCTTTGGTGATTCGGGGCAGCAGAAGAAGAATCTTCCTTTATTTGCACCTTCCTTTTTTACCACTTGTTTGCGGGTTTTTTTCTCATGGTGGCATTGGGGGCGTTCGGTTATTATTTCGTCACCCCATTGAAAGTATTTGCATGGATCTTTGTTTTTTGAGCACTTGAAGAAGGGACGTCCGTACGATTCTTTCTCTGGGTTCTTCACCACATACATTCTTGCCAAATTATTTTCGCAGCAAGAGGGTTGTTTCTGTAAGGTAGACAGAAATTTTTCGATTCCTTTTTCAAAAAGGAAACCATCTTCTTCTGAACAAATAAAATTGCAGCTATCTATTTGATCGCAGACCCAGAACTTTCCATCTGCTATCACTTTGGCTTCTTTCTTGTGTAAGCACTTCATCATGACTTGTTTTTGTGAACTTGTGCTGAAGTAGTTCGATTTCTTATATTTATACTTTTTGAAAGCACGTGTTTTTTTAAAATTAACTCGTGTTTTAAAATAAAAACATGTGCAGATAAATAAAAACACGTGTAGATAAATAAAAGCACTTAAACTAAAATAAAAGCACGTTCTGTAAAATATAAACACGTGTTATTTTATCTATATAAGCGGGGCAGTTGATGTTTCACCTCAATTTTATCGTGGGGATGGAGGACGATTTACAAAGGGAGATTGACAAATTTAATGATAGCAATGATGAATGGATTTGGGAAATAGACGAAGATACAATTTTTAATTCAGATAAAAAATTTTTACGTTTGATTGATAATGACAATAATGATTGGATTTGGGAGCTGGACAATATACAAGTTGGTTCGGGCGGACAAAAGCGGGATTTTGATGAAATGAATAACAATGAACAAATTGGAGGACAAGATAATGTAAACGAAGGTGCAAGTACAAGTATGGATATAGAACAGGACGAAACGAACGATGTTTCTAATTATGTAATAGAAAAGATTAATGAAGTTAAATCAAAGAAGTTTAAAACGAAAGGTATCGATTACAAAATCCGTTTCAGTAATAAGAATGAAGAGCTTAACATTATTCAAGAGTATGAAAAAACTCAAAAGATTTTTGAACAGTTAATTAATGATGTTACTAATGGAATGAAAGAGAATGATCAAGTACGTTTTGTTTTACGTACACCTCAATTAAATAAACCTATATCGTTACCGTTTATGGAAGTTTCTCGCTTCACTCCAGAGAGAATTTTTTCTCAAGTTGAACGTGTGGTACAGTCCAACCAACATTTCAATTTAAATGATACAGTAATTGCAGATATTGTTCATGTTGAAATGCCATCGGGATCGGGGAATCGTAGGCGAAGACACATTAAACTTTATGAACATTTACAAGCAAAGAAGTCAGTGGTTGTTATAAAGAATAATGACAATTTATGTCTTGCTAGAGCTCTTATTGTAGCTATAGCAAAAATTGAAAAGAATGAAAAATATTATCTCATAAAAGATAGTCGAAGTGCACTTCAAAGGAAAATGGCTAAAGATTTACATAGAAAGGCAAATGTACCTGAAGGACCATGTGGAATTCCTGAAGTTAAATTATTCCAGAATTATCTTACCGAATATGAAATAAATATTGTTTTGGCAGATCATGGAGACGTTATTATATATCCTCATCAATCTAATTCAAAGGAAGATGTGAAACGAGTTTATTTATATCTACATAATAATCATTATGATGTAATTAATTCTATGCCGGGTTTCTTTGGTCATAATTATTATTGCCATACATGTAGACAGGGGTATTCCGATGTCAAACTTCATTTATGTCCTTCCATGTGTAGATGCTGTCGTGCCATAAATTGTCCTTTTGTTTCGCCAGTGGATTGTAATGAATGTGGTAGAACATTCAAAAGTGAAACATGTTATAATAACCACAAGAAAACTACGAGAAAGTGAATCTGTATGTGACGAATAAGGAAGTGTTCGAAATGTGGAAGATCCATGACAAAGTATAAGTTGAAGGATCATCTATGTGGAAAAATACAATGTAAAACATGTAAAGCTATTATTGACGATATCAATAATCATTTGTGTTACATGAGGAAACCTGATTCAAAGAAGAAGGACATTTTAACTGAAGAAGAAGCAGAAGAAAAAGAAGAAGAAAATGAGAAAGGGGAAGGATATAATGAATTGTTCTTCTTTGACTACGAGGCACGACAAGAAGATGAAGGTATACATAAAACTAATTTATGTATTGTTCATAATGAGAGTGGGGATGAGTGGATCTTTCAAGGTGAAGATACTAATTCAAGATTTTGTGAGTGGCTTTTTACAAAGGAACATCGAGATTGTATATTTGTGGCACACAACTTCCAAGGATATGATGGGTATTTTATTCAAAACTTTTTAAATGAGAATGCGGTGAAATATGATATAATATTACGTGATGCAAAAATTCTCAGTCTGACTGTTCCAATGTTCAATATAAAATTTATAGACTCTTTAAATTTTATTCCTATGTCATTATCAAATTTCCCTAAAACATTTGGAATGAATGAGATGTGTAAAGGATACTTCCCTCATTCATTCAATCGAAGAGAAAATCAAGATTACATTGGACCTATACCATGTGAAGCATTTTATAACACAAATGGAATGAAAGAGGAGGCACGTAATACATTTATAAAATGGCATAAAGAAAAGAGAGAACAAAATTATGTTTTCAATTTTCAAGAGGAAATTATAAAGTATTGTCGTTCTGATGTTGACATTCTACGTCGATGTTGTATGGAATTTCGTGAACTATTTAGAAGTATTACAAATATTGATCCTTTTGAGAAGTGTTTAACTATCGCTAGTGCGTGTAATTTGGTTTTTCGTACTAATTTCCTTAAAGAGGAGACTATAGGGATTTTTCAAAATGACTATCAAATGAAGGTGAAACAATCGAACATGGCATTTAAGTGGCTATCATATATATCAGAGAAGGAAGAAATCTTCATTCAACATGGAAAGAATGGTGGAGAGAAACGTGTTGATAGATACTCATTGGACGGATATAATCCTGAATTAAATACAGCATATGAATTTCAAGGATGTATATGGCATGGTAATTATTATTATTATATTATTATTATATATTAATATTAGCATTATGATTTTGTTAATCATTTATTATTATTATTATTATTATTTTTAGGATGTGAAAAATGTTATACTTGCAATACAGTTAATCCTGTTAATGGAAAAACAATGAGTGATCTCTTTGAGGCTACATTAAAGAAGAATCTCTATCTTAAAGAGTGTGGGTATAATGTAATAGAAATGTGGGAGTGCGATTTAAAGAGGAACTTGGAACAAGATGAAGAGATGCGTGTGTATTTTGAAAACTTTGATCTTGTTGATCCCCTTCAACCACGTGACGCATTCTATGGAGGTCGTACGAATGCTACAAAGTTATTTCATGAATGTAAAGATAATGAGAAGATTAGGTATATATTTCTTATATTATATTTTTTCCTAAAGATTTTTTATTTATTACGTCATTTCTATTTTTAGATACGTTGACTTCACTAGCTTATACCCATGGTGCAATAAATCGACGAAAACAATTGTTGGACATCCAATAATTATTACAGAAAACTTTAGAGATATCTCTACATATTTTGGTCTTATAAAATGTACTGTTTTACCTCCAAGAGGTTTATTCCACCCGGTTCTTCTGTATCGCGTTCCTGGCAAGTTATTGTTTCCTTTATGTAAAGCTTGTGCCATCTCCTTCAATCAGAATCCATGTACACACACCGAACAAGAAAGGTCTATTCTTGGAACATGGTGTCATGTTGAGTTATTGAAAGCTATTGAAAAAGGGTATAGAGTTTTAAAGATACACGAGGTGTGGCACTTTCCTAAACAGTCAGATAATCTATTTAAGATTAGTTAACACGTTCCTAAAGATAAAGCAAGAAGCAAGTGGTTTCCCAAAGGATTGTATTACAGAGGAGCAAAAGCAATCTTATATTAACATGTATGAGGAACATGAAGATATAAAATTAGAAATGGAGAAGATTGAGCACAATCCCGGTTTACGTGCTTTGGCAAAGCTAATGTTAAACTCGTTTTGGGGTATGTATAATAATATAATAATTTATTTATAATAATAATAATTTATAATTTATAATTTGTAAATTTTTATTGTATAGGTAAATTTGCGCAACGTTCAAAGTATCAAAGACCGAGATGGTTACGAACCTCAAGATATTTTGAACTTTTGTCCTCTGATCAGTATGAAATTCATGATGTAAAGATAGTAAATGATAATATGTTGGAGGTGCAATACAAAAACACTAACGAATTTCTGGAGGTTAATAACAAGACGAACATTGTTATTGCGGCTTTTACTACGGCGTATGCTCGATTGAAATTATATGATCTTTTGGATACATTAGGTGAACGTGCACTTTATTACGATACCGACTCGGTTATTTATGTATCCAAAGAGAATGAATTGGAACCTCCTTTGGGGAATTATTTAGGAGATCTTACTGACGAATTAAATGGAAAGTATATTACAACTTTTATGTCAGGAGGACCAAAGAATTATGCCTATTACACTAATGATAATAAATCGGAGACAAAGATTCGTGGTATCACGCTGAACCATTCTGTTAACAAAAAGATAAATCCAAGTACAGTTCGAGCTCTTGTATATTTACATGCAGAATGTAAAGTAAAGGCAAAAATCACCGTTACTAACCCTTTCAAGATTACAAGAGATAAGCAAAGAAAGAACATAGTTACCAAAGAGATGAAAAAAGATTATCGTATAATTTATGATAAGCGTGTCTTAATGAACGATTTTAAGACAATACCTTATGGATTTTAAAAAGACACGCAAAGATATTAAAAGACACGTGTAGAAATTAATAAACACGTGCAGATATATATGTATAAATAAAAGTTGTTGTATTAGTTTTACTTCATTCGTTTTTTGTCTTCACCATGAATGCTACACATTACGTAATTGTTACGTTCAGAGAGGAACGCCTCTGTAAAGATATTCAAGAATATTTACAAAGGAAGAAGAGTAAACATAATTGGATCGTTAAGAGTTCATCTCGAGTACATCATGATGTACTTATATGGTGGGAAGAAAAGAAGGAGTTCTCTGGTACTCCTTTACGTTCATTCCTTAAACGAATGAGAGATAAAGAAATACTTCGTGGACATGCAGTGCCATGTTTCACAATTTCGAAAAAGATGAGAACAGAATATATTGCAACAAAATTTCCTGATATTCTCTCAAGTGATTTTACTAATGTAAATGATGATTTATACCATGTTATTGCTCATTTTGTGCATTTAACATCAATTGGTATGAATGACGCAAAAGAGGGAGAAGAAAAAATGCAAGAAGATAACCGCCCACCACCGCCCCCATCATCACCATTGTTAATACCTTCATCATCAACAGAATTGGTACCTCCATCACCGTTATCATGGAATGAAGAGAATGAAGATACTCCCCCTGTATTTGAAGTTTTAGAAAGACTAGAGAAGAAAACAGATTTGATGATGAGAACAATTCTTCGTTTGATAAAGATAATAAAACAAATGCCTGAATGTAATAATAGTGGTAGTAATAATGCTTCTACCTCTGAACCTGAGGTGCTTGCATGAGAAGAATGTTGGCTTTTATAATACTTTATGATATTTTGTAAAATGTTTTTTTTATTAAAAATGTTTTTATATACATCTCTTTTTCTCTCTATATGAAACTACCCACATCTATATATTTAATCTTAAACATTAAATTTGACTCATTCCCTATTAATGGAGAACTTGGTAATGTCTGTTTACATTCAATAGTAAAACCTAAATCTGGGTTTTTAGGGTAAAAATCAAATTTCTTATTTAAAAGAAATATTTTTCCAGACTGTGTTCTTCTATATGAACCTGTATCTGAATAATCTATAGAGCCTAAAAGCTCTGTTCTGCTAGAACTATTATCACTATAAATTGTTACTCTGAAAGAGAACTTTAAATTAGTTGGAAGAGTTGCGTCATTATCAAATATTTGCGTTTGAAAGAAAAGTTCCACAGATCTTACATTGTTTATAGGAAATACACGATTAGGAAAACCATTAAAATCCACTTTTTCGTAGCACCATTTATTAGCATCCTTTGTTGACTCTGGTGAAATAAAATAATATTTAGGAACACTTATCATTTTTTCGGCAATTCCAATATTTTTTGCAAGGGTTGAAATGAGACTCCTTACACTTGCACTTAGATTATCAGGACCAATTTTTAGTGTATTATTTGCAATAATATTTCCGTCGCTTCTTTTTGTCCCAGCAAGAAGAACATTTCCAACCATGGTATCAGCAAATTTATGTTTATCAAAACCACTTTGATGAGGAAAGAAACGATTATTCTGCAAATTAGAGTTTTGATAATTGGATGCGGTAAGATTTTCAAATTTGAATCCCTCATAGACAGTTATTGCCATTTCGCCATTACTAAGATTGGGGTCGTCCAATTTTGAAGTGGTAAAGACAAATGATATTTTGAAGTGTGTAATATTAAAATCTATTACCGGTGTCCGTGCTAAATAGTAATCATAGGTCTCTTCATTCACTGTTATTGCTCCAATATGTTTTATTGATCCTGATTTTGTTTGAAAAGAAGCTCCTCCTTCATTAACTATGTCAAAGCTTAAATTGCCATGTAAAGCCTGTTTTGTGTCATTACGAAACATAACAGCAAATATTACTCCGTATTGACTATTATCGCCATATACTTTATCGGCAATATAAAAGTACAAGTTTGTTAGATTATTACCAGTGTTGCTCCCCATATTTATTTCTAAACCTTTACGTAATCCTAGAAGAGGTATTTTTTTTCCATCTCTTTCTCTGACATGTGTTAAACCTCTTCCGTCTCCATAAGGTTCTTGACCGCCACTTTCAACAAAATTAAAAGTACTGTAAGTACCTCTACTTCTTCCTTGACTATCAGCATAACTTATCTTCTCGAAATCTTTATCAACCATTACAATTTTGCGTTTTTCCTGTGTACTAAAACTTCCTGCGGGACCTGTAGGACCTACAGGACCTACAGGACCGCGTCTTCCTTCAGGTCCAAGGGTACCCATACGACCGCGGTCTCCTTGTCGTCCTTGAATACCTTGAGGTCCTATAGGTCCTGCAGGACCTACATCTCCTTTATCTCCTTTATCTCCTTTATCTCCTTTATTTCCTTGAATACCTGGGGGGCCTGTATTGCCTGGGGGGCCTTTTCCCCCTCGCGGCCCTTCTGGTCCTTGCGAACCTGGCTGTCCTGTTGGACCTACATTGCCTGTGTTGCCCTTGTCGCCTTTATCTCCTTTATCTCCTTTTTCTCCTTTGTCACCTTTATCTCCTTTACCTCTGGGCCCTGTATTGCCTTGTGGTCCTTGTGGTCCTTGCGGTCCTTGTGGTCCTTGTGGTCCGCGATCACCTTTTGCTGCAGCTGTACCTGGAATACCTTGAGGTCCTTGTGGTCCTTGTAGTCCTTGCTGTCCAGCCGGTCCTGCCGGTCCGGGTTTTCCTGCAGGTCCTGCAGGACCTACAGCACCAACGTTGCCTTTATCTCCTTTATCTCCTTTAAAACCTCTATCACCTTTATCTCCTTGTGGTCCTTGGGGACCCTGGAGCCCTGTACTACCTTGGGGTCCTTTATCTCCTTTTTCCCCTTTTAATCCTTGCGATCCTTTATCTCCTTTATCTCCTCGAGGTCCTTCATCCCCTTTTTCACCTCGTGGTCCTGTATTTCCCTGAGATCCTTTTTCACCTCGTGGTCCTTGAGGTCCCTGAGGGCCCGGATCACCTTTTGCACCTCGTGGTCCTGTACGTCCCTGAGATCCTGTAGGCCCTGATGGTCCTTGAGGGCCCTGATCACCTTTTGCTGCAGCAGTACCTGGAATTCCTTGAGGCCCCTGCTGTCCTGTGGGTCCTTGTGCCCCTTGAGGACCAATTAGACCTTGTGGTCCTTGTAGTCCTCGTAGTCCTGGTGGTCCTGGTTGTCCTATCTGTCCTTGAGGTCCTTGAGGTCCTATAGCCCCGGGATCACCTTTTGATCCTTTCAGTCCTTGTACCCCTTGTTCTCCACGCGGACCTTTTGGTCCTTGCGGTCCTTGAGTTCCTTGCGGCCCCTGCGGTCCAATTTTACCTGGGGTACCTGTACCTGTACTTCCTTTTGCAGCCTTTGGGGTATACTGATATTCATACCCAAAGTTAAGATTACCACTATAGTAAGGATATCCTCTCTTCATTGTGAGTGGTTTATAAATGAATAAAATGTTTAAAAACTCTTACTTAAGAAGAATACATATAATATATTATTTCAAAATGAATAAAACCTCACGTTGTAAACATGGGAGCAAAAAAATCAAAAGCACGTTTAAATAAGAATATAGAAAAGCATGGAGCATGTAAAGTAGGAATAAGTTTAGGTCATAAAGATTTAAAGACAGAAGGTAATTTTCAAGTAGGGTACTCTTTGAAAATAAATAAAGACTATAAACCTATTGAACAAAATTTAATAGGTCAAAGACTCCTCCCTATAAAAGAGGAGGAAGAATTTAAGGAGCCCATAATTGAAGAGGAAGAAGGATCTATATGTCTAACTCCAGATATACCAGCAATTAAAGAAGAAGAAGAAGAAGAAAAAGAAGAAAACAATGGATGATTACCTTTCTGACATTTACTATAATCCTAAACGTCCAGGAGGACTTGGAGGTGTGGAACGATTATATAATAATGTAAAAAAAGATGGAAAATATAATATATCGAAAAAGAAAATAGAAGAATGGTTAATGAAACAAGATACTTATACATTACATAAACCCGCACGTCGTCGATTTGGTAGAAATAGAGTTATTGTTGGCGGAGTAGATGAATTATGGCAGATGGATTTGGCTGATATGCAAGCAATGGCAAAAGAAAATGATGGATACCGATATCTACTTGTTTGTATTGATGTATTTTCAAAATTCCTATGGGTTATTCCATTAAAAGATAAAACAGGACCGTCATTAGTTGACGCATTTAAAATTATATTAGAGTCTGGACGAAAACCCTATAAAATTCAAACGGATCAAGGCACAGAATTTTTTAATAAACATTTTAAAGCCTTAATGAAAAAAGAGGAAATTGAATTATATAACACCTATAATGAAACAAAAGCATCAATTGTAGAACGTGTAATTCGTACTCTAAAGACAAAAATGTGGCGTTATTTCACAGCTAAGAAAACCACAAGATATATTGACGTTTTATCTGACTTAGTGTTCTCATATAATAACAGTAAACATCGTAGCATTAAAAAAAGACCTGTTAATGTTACTTTTAAAAATGAACAAGAGGTATGGCATACACTATATGGAAATAGAAAAAGAATAAAAAAAGTAAAATATAAATTTAATATAGGGGATCAAGTAAGAATTAGTAAAATGAAACGTAAATTTGAAAAAGGGTATTTACCCAATTTTTCAAAAGAAATCTTTACTATTAGTAAACAAATACCTCGTAATCCTCCAGTTTATAAATTAAAAGATTACGATCAAGAAGAACTAGAAGGAACATTCTATAAAGAAGAACTGCAAAGGATAATTAAAGAAGATGATATTTATGAAGTTGAGGAAATTCTAAAAAAACGTGGAAAAGGTAAAAAAGAAGAATATTTTGTAAAATGGTTAGGATATCCAGCGAAATTTAATTCGTGGATTCCTGCTTCTCAAGTAAAAGATATTTAAACAACTCTTTTGTGTTTTTTAGTCATTTATTGTTTGAAACATGAACAACACACACTTCTATATTTCACTTCCTAATGACTCTTCAAAAG